AACAATCTCATAATTATCTTTAAAAAAAAAAATAAGATATATATTGTATGATTAATGACAAGTACTTAATTAGAAGTAATAATGTATTTTAGAGTTTGTATAAGGCCCACTTGGCCTCACTTGATCAATAACAAATTAAAATTTAGCACTGAATATAAAATATTTTAGCTCATTAATCATTATGAGTATTTTTTTTAAATTAGTACATGACCATATATGTTATTATAATGTTGCCAAAATGACGTGCCCGTTTACATCCATAAATGTCCATATCTGCATTTTTCATGGACTTGATCAGCTTTATAAATTATATGAATTGAGAGCACAATTCCGACTTTGTTCCAACGCAAACTCTGATTGTAAAGACAACTTGAATCTGAAAGGATAGGAAAAAATTAACAAAGAGGCATGAAAGAAAGTATTTGAAGGGCTGATGTTTCTTTTTTAGACTTTTTGCTAGAATAGACTTTTTCAATGACTCAAGATTAATATTCCTTCTTTTTTTTTGTGTTGGAATAGATTTCTTTAGAGAGAAAAAGCAAAGATTTGTTATATTTTTTTGGGGCATTGCAAATGGGTTTCTTTGTCAATAGGATAAATGATGTTGAGCTTTGTTGCATATATACTAGAATATTCGTGGCGATAGAGAGAGATAAAGTTTGACATCTTTATTTTGTACGAAGATTCAACACATAAACAGTGAAAGAGTAAGATGCAATATTTATAAAAAGCACCAAGATTTTACGTCGAAAACCCTGAAAAGGAAAAAAAAAAACCACGGAATCTGATCTAGCTTGAATGAATCCACTAGTGTTGGTGGTTAATTACAAGTAATACCCTTCCTTGGAGGAGGGAGCTTGCTCAATACAACGGATATATGTATAGAGCATATTTCATAGTTGGAGAAAGACATGATAGTTGTTCTCAAGATGGTGTTTTCTTATTCATTTGGTTAGTAGGAACGTAGTTGGATGATGGTAGTTTGAAGAATCGTAGTCAACAGGCGATGAAGGTTGGAATGACCGTATTCGGTGGGCGACGGAGGTTAGAAGGACTGTAGTCGACTAGCGACAGAGGTTGGAAGGATCGTAGTCTGGCAACAGTGGTTAGAAGGATTGCAGTCAAATGACAATGGTCTGAAGTACTATAGTTTGGTGATGGAGGTAGAAACAACCATTATTGGTGGGCGACATACGTTAGAAGGACCGTAGTTGAACAATGGTGGTTGGAGGGACCATAGTCGGCGGGTGACGAAGGTCGGAAGGATCATAGTTCAAACCAATATAATATTGCTCCTGGACAAGTTCAAAGATTTTGGGAGGACTTCCAAGGTCCATTTCCTCAAGATGCATAGTCAAGGGACACATGTTATAAATATTGAAGGATTTGCATTCTTTGAAAAAGTATTTAATTTTGGGGGTTAGAGAGATTGGAATGCTTTCAAATTGGTATGTTTGACACTAGGGACATGCCTAATCAATATGCAACTGATTAATCATGGTTCTAAGGTCATTTGATAGGATTTTGAATCATTTAAAAATTCCCCTAAAATAGGGAAAAAATCAAGGGATTTTGGGTTTGATTTGAACATTTGTTTTTGAATTTGATATTTTGAATTGGATTTGGTTTGAATTATTGATCTCACACAGAAAATAAGGTTAGCAAGTGCATTTCTTTTAGATGAAGCATATGTGACTCTATATATTTATTTTCGATGGAGCGATTATGACTCCATAGGTTTATATTGAAAGGAGCGATATCTTTCAAAATAAACTAAGTGTAACTTATCATATTTTTAATTTCATTCATAAAAATAATATGAATTTTAGAATATAACGTAATTAGATGTACAATAAATTACGTTCTAGAATAAAAGGCATAACATATTAATTTTTATTTGGAGTTTAGTAATTTATAAGTTTTGTATGTCTCCAAAATATTTTTTAATGAAAAGAAAAGATTAAATGTGCATATTCGAAAGATAAGAATCAAATTTATAATCAATGGATAAAATACATTTGAATTTATGTAAATAAGATTTTCCATCGCATTATTAGTACTGGACATCTCATGGTGACTATGGTCATGAGTCCAATCAAAATACAATACATACAAAGAAATCAATCAATTCTATCAATGGATAAAATGATCAACAAAATAAAATTGAATATATGATTTATGATGTTGTTGACTTATAAATTGTTGAAATATATAGGTCAGTCTATTATTTAAGATTTGCATAATGTTGATATTTAGGATGAACCAAATAGTTAGCCTAAAATTTTATGATCTATTAAGTGCTATACAACAAACTTTTTTACAAACACGTAGTTTGTTTATTAGTATCTATTTGCTGGTTCAATAAGTATTTTGATATTCAATTTATTCACATTTGTTTGGTTATTTGATATATTGATTGATATTCAATTATGATATAATTTTAATGTAATAGCTCCATTGTTAGTTGTTCTATACATTGTTAATGTTGTTTTCTCCCTACAAGTTTCTATAATAATGGTACAAAGCATATGTTACCTGCTTTTTTATTTTACTACATGTTAAATTTATGATATATTGTACTTTTGTGAAAAGTTCTTCCATTTGTTAGCCAGTAATTATTGATGGATCTTTCTAAACTTTTTCAAAATGAATTTTTTTTTATTAAAAATAAAAATTATATTTTAATGCGGAAGCATTTTAATAAACAAAATTACAATTCACAATACCCAAAATAAATACTAATCTTTTTGTATTTTTGATTTTATAGAAAAAATAAATAACATTTTTTTTGTTCTTTTTATCTTTATGTTTTTTTTTTCTTTTTAAAATAAATATTAATCTCAATCAACCGCAATAATTTTTGTATCACAATAACAACCAAACTCAACCCAGATAGTCAAACAATAATTATGAAAGAAAGTAAAACTATACAAAGTAAATACAAAAAAAAGCAAACTTATTTTTATAGGCGTTTGACCTACTTTTGGACTTATGTGAACTCCCTGAAATTTCTCTTTTCATGTACTGCACTAATTAATAGTGACTCTTATTTAGTTCACAGGTAAGCAAAGAAGCATGTACAAACTTTTTGCTCGATGTGACAGAGTAGCTGAAATCCTTTTCATCACCTTGATGTTCTGAAATAGCTAAAATTCTTTTACCCCCTCAGTGCGGCGGAGTAGCAGAAATTCTTTTTACCTCCTCATGTGGCAGAGTAGCTGAAATCCCTTTCATCTCTTCGGTGTGATGGAGTAGTTGACAACCTTTGACACCAAAGGCTTCTTCATAGAGCTTCCCTCAAGACAAACACTTGCACACCCAGAGGAAATCAAGTGCAAGCTAGTCATAGCAATTATGTGAAAACCCCTCTTACATTTTCTTGAATCCCACGCCGCTGTTCTCCTTCTCATACAATCTCACACTTTTTCTCCTTTGCTCAATACTCTCTCTTCAACACTCTCACAAAAGAAATAGACCTATGTCTACCAAATGACCATTGCTAAGGTTATAACAAGAGTTTATATAGAGGGCATTAAAAACTCTAAATTTTCAATTTTATCACTTCTACTTGTATAGTACAATAGGGGTGTTGTACAATACGATTGATTCATCCTCTGTTATACAATCTAAGATCATCCAATACAATTAGTTCAATCGAATGCAGTTCATACATGACGAACCCCAAGATGATTAATTATGGTCTAGAAGTTGCTTTGTTAATCGTCCAATACAATTAAGATTGTATTGTATGATGATCAATTTTAATTTATCATGATTCAATTTCTTATCCACGAGAATTAAATTAGGCAAGATTTATAAACATCATATAGTACGAACAAGTTCGTACAATATGATTAGAACAACTTTCAAATTTAAATTATTGTCTAATTTAAATTGCGACGATGGTACTAAATATAACTGACCATTTTGTAAGATGTTGCAGTTGTACAATAAGATTAATTATAGCATTTTACAAATTAACCTCATTTAATTAAATATTTTAATTATTTTTTATTGCATAGATCATACAATACGATCAAGATCATCAAGTACTATCTTCAAAAAATTAAAATATTTAATTACACTCCCTCTTATGTGTGTGCACGATTACTAAGACAACATACATCTATTACAAATATTGACTCAAAAAATTTGAAAATTACATACTCTTCGAGACAAATCCAATCTCCATGCAGACATTTGATCAGACTATGCTTAATTAAGCTATTTGGTACTTCTAATTAAGTAGATCTTAGGCCTATTCTACCTGATTAATCTTACGTTACTCAGCCTAACTTATCTATTTAGCTTACTTCATCACAATTTCCAACCCCATATATGCTCAGATCTCTCCCTGAAAGGTTGAATTTTGTTGTCCACATCATTAATTAGGAATTAAGTTATTGCTGTTACACTAGTTATGATTCCTTTTATAATTATTAGTTTAATTAATGATTAATTCAACTAATTAGTTTTTAATTTGACTACTTAAGGGTTACTTAGACTTTGATTAGTGATGAATATCTATCTAGAATAATTACTAATCAGTGAATTATTAATTTTGGATTAAGAACCACTATAGTAATTATGGATGAATGAATATTCTTAAGAAATTGTACTAACAACTGTCGAGTAGTACTAATTAGACTATTTAGTATTTATTTGCATATAGTGGGAGTTAGTGTAGTTTTGGCTTATCATTAATGAAAAAAATATTTAATTAGGATTAGTTACTATTATAATAATTAGGAGATAATTATACAATAATTAGGTAGGAATTAGTCACATGGTAGAAAACAGCTCAGAGGTGAACAGAACTAAAAATTGACCACGCTGCTATATACGCGGAAATAAGAAAATTATAAGTAGACACAAATACCCCTGCAAGTTACCGGAAATCTCATTGAGCATAATTCCTATTTCCGTTAATTTCTAGAAAAATAGACCTATTCTCGTACTCTTGCATCTTAAAGTTCTCCGCCGCCGTCTTTTTTAACTATCACCATTTCTCTAAAGGAGGAGGAGGAGGAGAAGAAGAGGAAGAAGAGATCGGAGCAATCGTAATGGAGACGATGATAAGAAGAAAGCTCTCCAAATCCGTCGTCCTTCTCCTCCTTGCTGCCTTCCTCTTCGGCTTTGTATCAGCCGGCGACATGGGCGGACACAGCCTAGGGTGGATTCCGGGGCGATCGACTTGCCAAGGAACAATCGCGGAGTGCATCGGAGGCGACGAGTTCGATTTAGCAACGGAATCCAGCCGCAGAATATTGGCGACTTCTGGCTACATCAGCTACGACGCGTTGAAACGTGGAAGCGTGCCTTGCAATCGCCCCGGCGCCTCATACTACAACTGCCGCCCTGGCGCGGAGGCGAATCCCTACCACCGTGGATGCTCAGCGATTACTCAATGCCGGGGCTAAATTCCATCTTCCATTCTTCCATTTCATGTCCTATTTCGATTTCTTTAACTGTTTTAAACTATTGATTTGGTTACTGCTGTGTGCCCTGGCTTGAAATTTGATGTAATTTTTTGTTTTGTTGTTGCTATTGTTATCATACATAAGAAAAGTTAATGATCGTGATGGGTTGTTAAATGGATTTGCGCAGGTATTTCTAAATTTGTATCTGTTTGCTTGAAATTGAGATCCTCTATGTGCTGAGTTTCTATTCATTCCAACTCTTTTAATGTTCAAATTAATTCTTTCTTTGTTCTAATCAAGCAAACAGACTAATAATTGGCAATAGTTTGAATTTCTCCAGTTTCTCAACTCTTTCTGCTTGTCGTTTGATGAGCTAGGAGAATAAAGGCCTTTATGCAGTCAAGCTGGACTCTTTCATCACCATGATTTTTATTTCAATTTCTTTTTTTTTTTCCTTTTTCTTCCATCAAGACAAGGATTTATGATAAGAACAACAACTATAAAGATGATAAAAATAATATGGGAGCCAATTGATGATGATTTCTTTCTCCAGATGTTGGTTCCAATGTATGGCAGAAAATAAACTGTTTAATAATTGAACGTGCCATCGGTGGAGACCTTCCACCTAACTGCTTTGCCAATTATTCTGACCCCTTCAAAGAACCGATCCCTTCAGAGATGTTGTTGGTGCCTAATATCTGTTAGGTATCACACACTGTAGATTTTAGTTATATTAAATTTAAATTTTTTTTAACACTAATCATAAGTAATTAAGATAAGATTACTCATAATGATAACTATGAAATTTTACATGTAATAAACAAAATTATTCAATTTTTTTTCTCTATTGTATAAAGCTTCTTATGGTTTTTACTTGAAGTTGGTTGCTTTAATATGACAGTCATTCCATTTTTCTCGCTTTCATTGGACCCTGTGACATCGGAGAAATTATTCTGTGCGGAGTCCGGATGAGAAGTTTCTGTCCGGACTGTGAGTGTACACACTGTGTACATTGTATATAATTTGGTTCAAATTGTGTACACACTATTTGTACATAGTGTGTACATTCACAGTCCAAACGAAAACTTTCTATCTGAACTCCGCACAGAATAATTTCTCGTGACATTGACCTTAAGCCAATTACAAGCGGCTCTTCTCTCCATGTGCATTAAATGGTACGCATAACTGTGTGGATTTAAATTTGAGCCTTAATGCACTACAACTGAAGTAGTCTATTCCTAGTTTCTTTTTTCTGCAAGTGGATTTAAATTGGATTGATGATTCCAGCAGGAACTTGGCGGCAAAGTTTACAAATTGTTAATTTGAAGCAGAGTTGAAGAGGGGCATAGTTGTGGATCATGCTCATAAATGCCTGGTGATGGGTACATCTGTGCTTTCTATTTTATAAAACTGCTTTTTACAGTCTCCAGTTCAGCTTTAGTTTGTCATATTAGATATTACATTAGTGTGAGATTATGCTTATCACTCTTCATACTCATAGATTTTGCTGGATTCAAAGAGAATGCAGTGTAAATTAAGTACGTCGAGGCTATTTGGTTGTCTGTAAAGTGAATGTAGGGGAATTGTATTTTCTGTTTGGTTTGGTGTATGCAAAGTAAAATCAGCACACTGCCCCCAACAGAAGACACATTGTAGCTCCAGGTTCCCACATGAGGTGGTCCGACCATCCTATGGCTTCAGGTTCCCGCATGAAAAATACACTAACCTGGGGAGTTAGGAATGCAATGTGATTTTACTTTGCTTTACCCGGTAACAAACCAAACAGGAAAAAGTGAAAAAAAGTAAATTTACTATGCTTTGCGTTCACTTTTCCTCCAACCAAACATCCTCTAAATGTGAAGATCTTTTTCATAATTTTCGCTTCGAAACCATATCAATTGATCTCAAACAACAACCAGCTTTAATATTTTGAAATCATTATCATTGTTTGGTATTTGTCTAATCCTAACCTTTTCAAATCATCTTTTTGAATTTTTGTTCTCCACTGACTCTAATTTTCACATATTCCTTTATTGATAAGAATATTGTTTCTAGAGGTCAATACCAGAAATCCAACAATAAATGATACAGAGCCTGTGAATAGAAATAAGTTTTCTGTGGTGAGAAATGAAGGCCATAGATTGAACTAAATGCAATCACAAGGATAGGGTGAAAAAGAAATAAAAGCAGTTGCCAAAAATAATTGGAATTCAGGCTTCGTTTGGGATGGCTTTATTACTGCTTCTTAAAACAGCTTTTTTGTATAAAAATTAATTTTTTTTTACTAAAAAGTTGTTTTAAGAAGTGGTAGGAAAGCCATCTTTAACGAGCTTTTAAGTGTACCTAATCCCTAATCTCTTGTTCTTTAAAACACTTTGATAAAGAAAACAATTATATGATATGTTAGACTATTTCATAATATCAAATTACAATATAGTTTTTTATCATATACTTAGATATAATAAATTATTTAGCTAATAAATCCATTTTATCTAAATAGGTTAAAACTTAAGAGTAGATATACTATAATGTTCCTCAAACATGGTTTGAACACAATGTTTGTTGCTCTTATTTGGCTGTAATTCGCAGTCTTAAAGGTTTGAATTTCTTTTGATAACAATACTGAGAAAGAGTATGAAGATGAGAAATAAAACACAATAAATACACAAATTCAAAATTTATGTAGTTTGGTGAGATCTATTTACGTTCATTACCGCACAAAGATTGAATGATCAAATAAATTTCAAAGGAAAACATTAAGTGATTATATTTCATATAGAGTTCAAGATAAGAATAAAGTTTTTATTTTATATACATAGATGGGTGAGAAAGAATCCACTCACATGTTATGATAATGAGGGTTGGATGCGGAAAAAAAAAAAGAAAAAAAAGAGATGTTAGCTTTATAATTGATCTCTTCAATTTTAGGGGTGTCAATATTTGAAACGATTTGAAAATCCGATCCGAACTTAGCCTGGAAATTTTGGGTTCGTGTTGACCCGAACAAGGTTGGGTTCAGGTTAGGGTTTTCAACCAGCTTAAAAAATCGGGCTGGTTCAGGTTGACCTGGGAAAAAGGCGTTTACCCGCTCTGCTCACATTGCATCAAGTAGCTGTCGAGCATCGCATCTCCTGTCGTGTATTGCATCGCCTGCCTCGTGGCGCGTCTGGCATCTGCTTGCGATCCCGCTGCCCACGATGTTGCGTCGCATCGTCTTCCATTGCCGGTCACTGGAGTTACGGGATTTGATTAAATAAACGCGAGATTTATGCCGCTGCCGAACTTGAAGCGGAGTTACGGGATTTGACTAACGGGTTGGGTAAGGTCAGGTTGATCCGAACCCGAAGCGGGTCAAGTTCGTGTCCAAAAAAGCGGCCCGTTTGCAAAAATGAGTTGGGTTTGATTTGACATGAACAGTGTCGGGTCAACCCAAACCCGACCCGTGACTTGAAATTGACACGCTATTCCTTTCATTGTTATAGGAGTCCAAACAAGTGTTTTTTCCTGTTATGATCAAAAAGCTTCTTCTACTGTTGGACCTTAAATAATTGCATTTCTCTTCTTTTCCCTTAATTGGGAGAACCTCTCTTCTCCATTGTTTCTTCATTCTTTTGTTGTTGTGGGATATATCATTCTCTTTTAGTCTCTATTTATAATGGTCATAGTAGTCACATATTTGCATTAAATCAAAAGATATCAATAAAATCTTATGAAAATTTACCGTGGATAAAATTTTGGATGCACACATTTAACTATATCATATTATGAGAAAAAAATAATTTTTTACCCCTCAACTCTCATTTACTTCGTGTTAGGAAGAACACTACTGCTTCTCAACGATCCAACTTGAAATAATTTTACTAGTTTGTCAAGTTTAAGTAGAGCTTGAATTGAATTTTAAAATTTAAAGTTGAGCCTAAATTTTTTCAATATTGACTTGAAATTTTCCATAATTAATATGATCAATATCTATAATATAAAAATAATGATCACCAATGTCATATATCTGCATATTCATCTTAGCAAAGTTCATTTGATCAATCTCATAGCGGTAAGAATTTAATCACTTGGATTGAAATTATTTAAAGAACATATGTTATGAGTAGTTTTGTAATTTTTTATAGAATTTACACACACATCATTAAACTCTTATATATTTATAAATATAATATTTAATTATATATTATCCTAATATCTAAACAATATTAGAAATTATCATTAATATTAATTTGTTCAAAGAAAATATATTTTAATATAATTTATATCATAAAATATTTTATAAATAAATAAAAAAATTAAAATATTTGACATGTAAATAGATATAAATCCTATTTGATGGCATGTATGTAAGATCTTTAGTCCAGTAATCTTTCTACAAGTTCGTCGTTTCTTTCATTCGATATCGCGAGAAGCGTGCCTTCAAGAGAAATTTACGGCGGTGGTGGCCTCAAGTCCCCAAGTCTAGGAGATAGAGAGAAGCCATGGCTTGCGGAAGCCTATGCTTTCAAACCCGTTTCCCTCGGTTCGTCGTCGGCGTCTCCGCTTCTGCTACTTCATCGCCCTTTTCTAGGAGAGCACTCGCTGGTGGCAGGAGGGCAACGGCGCCGCCCATGCCTCCCCTGAACCCTAAGGATCCTTTCCTTTCCAAGCTCGCCTCAGTAGCCACCGCCTCTCCCGACGCCCTAGCCTTAACGCCAGCGGAGTTAGACTCTCCACCCTATCTCGACCTATTTGACAGCCCGAAGTTGATGGCTACTCCAGCTCAGGTAAGAATGACTAATCCTATCTTGTAACTTTACAAGTTCTATAGTTCGTTTTTTTGGTAGAGATGATTGTTTGGAGAAAGGGCAAGAGCTTATGAAGCAAACAGGGTTCTTTAACTGTTGTAAAGGAGAAGTTTTGCATGATTTGATTTTAGAATTTGGTTTTGGCGTGGGAATGTTGGTCAACTTTTCCCTCCGGCCTATGGTCTGGTTGTTGGTTCTTAGTTACCCATCTTAGAGGTTTAGGCTCGAGTAAGGACATGTTTTGTGTGAGTAAAAGAAAAAAGAAGAAGAAGAAGAAGATAATACGGCGAGCCTGTGAGATATATGCACTTTTGCCATTTTACGATGCTGTTGATATTCAGAAGTCGTGCTTGTTTTTTGATAAAAATGGAGGGCCACTTCCTTGGACTTCACGCAAAGAGAACTTCCTGGTGGGTCTTGGAAATTTTAAAAACTAGCAACAAGTTTGCTATGCTATATAAGTCGGTGTTGGGTGCGTTGAACATTAGAGAAGGCACAATTTGGCAAATAAAACAAGTTGAAATTATTAAAAAAAAAGCTAAGATCAATGATGGTAGAAGTGTAATTACTTATGAAATGATTCGTCTTTTTTTCTTGGAATAATGTATGATCTTTCTTGGAAGAATATAAGAAGCTGTAAATCCTGTGTAGTTTCAAATTCTTATATTCTATTAGAAAATATATGGTAATCATCCAATGAAGCAAGAAATTGATAGTTCTGGGTAATGTTGCTTGCCATTTGTAACAAAAAAGACTCAAACAAACTTGTCATTCTCTTATTAAGTGGCTATTTGGTTCAATATTATTTTAGATGTCATTGTTATAAAGATGTCAATATTATTTTTCTAATGTTTTGTTTTTGGTATTTTTTGTATAAAAAAATGTTAAGAGTTATTGATCCAAGAGTATCTTCAACTAAGATGGCTCTTGGGTTAATCAACTACTTTTTGGCTAATTTGACGGTCAAGCTAATCCTATCGGTCTGCCAATAGGTGGGGCCATATATGATCAATGGATACATGTGGAATACTTCTTAAGGTTACATGCCAATAATGGGTGAACACTTCCGTGCAAGAAGAGCTAATTTACCATGGAGTGTTACATCATCAAGCTAAAGTAACTAAAACCATTACCTTATATTCATGTTGTTGGCCACCCTTCATTGTATAAGGAAGGTGATGGCTACCCAATCCATTTCAAAGTAATTGTTTTAGTTTTTTTATAGATTAAGGATAATTATTATGGTGGTTTCGATTCATACCATACAAAATTTATGTCTTTGCATATCTAACACTTAAATACTTATTTCTACTTGTATATCACCGTACTATCAAAATCACATCAAAGCATATACATGAACATATGTTTTTACTTTAACTAAGTTGTAAATTCCCTAATTATTATCTTTTTATATTTGATTTATGGATCAAGTGGATAGTTATTGTTTTATAATTTGAATTTGAAACAATGTTTGCTATTCCCTTATATCATTATACATAAATAGTGGCTTATTTAAATCTAATTGCTATCATTTTGCAATTTTGATAAAATAGTTTCAAGTTTCCACTAAGCACTCTATTACACACATCTTATTTCATTGTAGGATTGTTCATCACCTTTTCTCTAATTAGATTGGCTCTCCTCACTTTCTCTCACTACCCAAGAGGGTCATGGAGGGACAAGCTTGATGTAATTGTAAACAATCTAATAATAAGAAGGTCCAATTACTCCAATCCAATTGCAAGTGTTCATTCTATTCCTCATCAAGGGAAGGTTTGCCTAAATTTTAGATCTTGTCCTCACTTTATTCCTTAAGCTAACTTTTGCCAAAGAACACTCTTAACAATTTATTTTGCAAGTCTTGTTAGGACTTAGGAATTTCCATAAAATTTTTTGATATTTGATTTTGCCGACCTCACGTAGTGGGATAAAGGCTTGTTGTTGTTGTTGTTGTTGTTGATTTAATGTTAAAGAAGGGTTACTCTATTCAATCTTTTAGTTCAGATCACATGCATTCAAATTGAAAGAAAGATCACCAGTACCCTTCTCGATCTTGGATTAAATGATATCAGAGCATGACATCATATTTGTTGGATTCTTAAAAGCTATAAAAAACTAATCTAAGTGTAGATCCTATATGCAAGATTCCTAGAAGCTATAAGAAATCTATTTGAGGACTACCATGAGTAATCATGTGAACTTGAAATGATTCAGAATGACGTGAGTATGTCTTTGTTATTCTTTAAAATAAAGTGTCCTATTTGGCATGGTTTAAAATTGCGCAATATGAGGCTCGCCTTGAGGCCCTCCTTTGCGCAATTCCAGTAAAAAACGCCTCGATGCTTATGCCTCGAGTTTTTTTATGAGGCTTGCGCCTCAACTTGGTTGAGGCCCGCCTTGCCTCACTAGCATGAGGCTTACGCCTCACGCTATATATATTAAAACTTACATAAATCTTGAAGTAAATGCCCGACATTGGACTCTATAGGAGAGGAGGAAGGGGAGAGAGCAGTTCACTATAATAATGATTCAAATAAAGAACCCCTTAGTGATGATAGTGCTGATGAATTATGAGTTCTTATGTGATATGTCATTGCTATTTATTTTTGGAAATCGGAATTATATGTTAATGAAAAGAATACTGGGATTTCTGAAAGATAGAATTTTGAGTTGAACTATATTTCATGTTGTCTTATTATTGAGATATTTTGATTTCACTTCATATCTTATGTTTTTTTATGTTTTATATTATTCACTCATTAGTATATAACAAATTTATCATTTTATGTTTACGCAATCTTTTGATTTTGAGGCTTACGCCTCGCCTCACGAATGAAAACGCCTCAATACCCGAATATGCAATTTTAAACATTGATATTTGGTGCATCTTGTGAAATTTAGATTTGTTTACAATTTCATATTCAACCTGGAAAATCTCAATTTGAAGAAAGTTCTCTGAGAGAAGTACGAGACAAAGGAGATTCAACAGTTTGTTCCCATTTATCGAACCAAGGATAACTTCACGATGCTTATATCCTTCTATCATGTGAGAACTCCAGAGGTTAGATGTGGTTTTTGTTAAGTGGATGAATAGAGTTGGAGGAGTCTATATCATAAAATGAAGATTCTTTGGGATACTCCAAAAGAAGGAAATTAAAAAAAGAATGCAATATGCACAATTGAGTTTTTTCAAGGAGCATATCTTAGTGTTAAATTGGTAACACAATTGTTATTTGTTTTTATATGGAGGGAGCATTTCAAATGTTGATAGCTCATGGGGAAAAAAGGGTGTCAAGAAGTGCTACTTCTCAAGAAGGTTAGTGAAGTTTATAATGAGCCAATTTCTTCATTAGAATGGCTATACCACATAAGTACAAAATCAATTACAATATTGATTGATCACACATCGATGGTCACATTGGCCACTATATAAATAGAATGGTTATGACAACATTCATTTAGATTGACTTCGAAGATAGGGGTGTCAAAATGGATATTGGGGTTGGATTCAGGTCGAACTCGGAATTGACATGGGTCCAAATGGATTGACCCTAACCCAACCTGGTTTTGTAAATGGGTTATAATTTCTGACCCGGACCCGACCCATCCAGTTAACCCGAAATGTGCAGACGAAATGGAGAGCGAGCGAGTGCAGGCAAAGGGGGTGCAAGTGGGCGTTGTGCGGGCGAGCGTAGCATGCACGGGGTGCGGACGTGTGAGCAGGTGAGGGTGTGGAGAGACCACAAGGGAGAGAACACAGTGTGAGCGCGGGTCCAGCCGTTTGGGTGCGGTCCTTGAACACGAGAGCGAGAGGGCGGGATAGAGCGCGATTGCATGCAGAGCGTTGCAGGCAGATGGGGCAGCGCGAGAGCGGGATTGAGCATGGGCATGAGCGTAGGAAAGCAAAACCTGAGCGTAGGATCGCTATAGGACGAACCCGAACCCAAACCCAAACCCGAACTTGAGTCATTTTCGGGTTGATTTTGGGTTTTCGGGTCAACCCGAACTTGATTTGATTTTAGAAACGGGTTAGAAAACAAAACCCGAACCCAACCCACCTGGCAAATCAGTTGACCCTAACATAGAATTTTTCGGGTTTGTTATTGGTTTGAATTTGACAACTAGGGCAATTGTTGCATGGGCAAATCATGGGCTTGCTATATTTCATGAGTTAAGCACAACAACATCATGGCTGATTACAGTGTAAATTGGGTCGACAATATCATGGATGGATTGATTTCAAATTTCTTTTATTATATTTCTCTAATTTATTTCAATTGTATATGAATTAAACATATATGCCATAATCTAGAAGGATATTTAGCAAATAAGGATTAATCAACCTAAACTATTGCTTGGGTCAATTATATTGGATTTAGCTACTTAGATCTAACTTTTTATGTGGTTACGCTAATCTACATTAACTCAACCAAGAGGTTAGACTATTTAGGTTCTATGGACTTATATAAGTGTTGCAAGTAAAAATTAGGAAAAACCCCTAATTTTTGCAAGCAAAAAGAAAACACTTCATAGGAAATAGAAAATTACACGAAATACTACAAATTACAACTTATATGACAAACAACAAACTTTATAAACTTTTAAACAAAACATGACATTACAAACTTATGAAATAAAGTTCTAAACTTGCATTTCCTTGAGAAGAAAGATACAAGTGATGTCAAACTTGCGAAGAGAAGAAAGAGGTTAGAAGACAAGACGAAAGAGAGGACAAGCTCGCAAGCTTTCTAAGAGGGAGAGGAGAAGAGATGGAACAAGCTCGCAAGACTTTTCAAGGAAACCCGTAGGTTTTATCCAAAAATTAGCCACATAACATTTTTTATTCATACAAAACACCTTATATTTATAGGAGTAAAGAGGGCAGCCAAACAACCCCAATTATCTCCAATTAAACCACCTAAAAAGGGGAAAACAAAAGGCCAAAATTCATTCCAGAACAACACCCAAAAAGGCCACACGAAAATCAGGAAAAGCAGCTACGAGACAAGCAGCTAGGGGAGGAATCGAAGGGGCAGAGCAGCCACGGGGAAAACAGCCAGGGGAGGAACCGAAGGGGCTGCACAAGGAACAAAACTAGCAACCAGGGGGATCGGAACAGGCCACGGGAAGGAGAACCAGGGAGGAAAAAACGAAGAGACACATAGAAGGGTAAAAGGCAAAGATCCAACTCCACTTTATGAGCTATCAAGAGAAATACCTTTTCAAATTAATGAGCTAAACATCAGCTCAAGCATTTATGAGCTAGAACCAAGAAGTTTTCAAAGAATATAGCCCTAACCCAAGCAACCAAGGCCCAACCCGAGAAGCAACCAGCACCCCAAAGACCAAAAAACCCAAGTAGCTAGCACACCCAAAGCTTGCCAAGTCCAAGAGACAATGGAAATGTTTTGATTCCCCCCTTGGCTACATCAGTAAGGCGACTTGAAAGAAGGCTACATAAGGTACAAGGAGGATGCATAGCATTTTTTTTAAAAGCAATGGCATAAGGCTAGATGTTTTCCTTGGCATGAGACAAGGTGTAAGGCACAAGGCTTGGGACAAAAAGAAATTTCAAAACCCAAAGTCCATAATTATATGATTCGTATTCTTATGGTAAAGTCTAATAGATACAAACATATAAAATAAAATAAATTGAACCAAAGAGCAACTTGGGAAATTTTGGTGAAGTGAATGGAGATCCAAAGATTGATCCGACACAAGGGAGATGAAGGCAAGTTGAGCTTCGATGTTTTTTCGAGCTTATACGAGAGAATTTGATTTGATAAGAATTGTTTTTTAAGATATTAAAAAAGAATTTTTTTCTTCATATTTTTATTTAAATAGATAGGAAAGTTAAAATAAGTTAGAGTTTTTAATTTGATAATTTAGTTTAATTTAATTTAACTTATATTATGGTTCTTTCACCTTGCTAATCAAGTGCAAAAGGTGAGCTTCGAGCACTCTTTGCCCTGTGAAGTGTACAACCCGATGGTTGAAATTGAACAAGACATCACGCCTCACACTCTGTATGCCTAATGACGTACCTAATTGTCTTGTGGTAATTTTATGCCGCTTTGCTTTGAGGTGAGCCCCAAAGGTGACTTTTAATACATTTGATACAAACACCAGAGAGTGCCATGCCATCAAGCTAAAATAACCAAACTACCACCTTTTTTTTTTTTTTTTTTTTTTTTACTTATAACGCATACGCATAGCGTAAGCATAACCAAACTACCACCTTGTCTTCATTGAAACTTGAAATTACTAAAATTGAATATTCTTGTACTTGCAAAGAAGGATGATCAATTTAGCGATAGTGTTTTAGTGGGTTGTCCCAGTTTTTTATGTTATAATTGAATCTCTTATTAGGGAAATTCTCAATTTAGCAATTCGGCTGCTGTTCTTGTTTTAGCATGAGCAAACCTATCATGCATACTGAATTATGCTTTCCATTGCATCATTATGGTTTCAGCTTGTCCTTTATTATTCCTTTTAATTTATTGTCAACTGCATAGTAAAGAAAATGATACATGCATATTTGGATACGCTATATATCTTTATTGACTTATTTATGCTTACTTGTTAGCCCTTTTAGCATTCTAGAAGTTTGCTACTAACTTTCATTATTATTTGTTATCTGAACTAGGTGGAGCGTTCTGTTTCCTATAATGAGCATAGGCCAAGAAAGCCTCCACCAGATTTGCCATCCTTGCTTCTCCATGGGCGAATTGTCTATATTGGCATGCCTGTAAGTGTTATGACTTTACTAGTTACATGAAAATGACCAAGTTGTTTTACACTGGTGATAATTCTTCCTTGGAGAACAGCCTTTTTTTAAATCATGGTTACAATTTTTTTAATTATGCACTCTGGATTTTCATTCTTCAAGAAAATTACAAAATGCCATGCTACTATTTTAAAATTCTACCTATGCTATTCTGAGATAAAAATTTTTCTCCCTTCGTCTGTTTAGCGTTTGATGAAATGTACTTGAAAGTTGAACATTGTGGAGATTGTAGAACACATTTATGGTAAACTATGAGCTAAAACTTTCTTCAGACATTCACATTAGGAACATGTGCGATATCAGAATTTATAAAAAGAAAAGTGAAGTTGGTGTTAAGTACGGTAAGTATGCAGGATATATACAATTTCTAAACCTGATTTCCATCACTATGTGATTCTTTTGTTACTTTATTGTTAATGTTTTGAGTAGCCACAGTCCATGGGTACCAAAAGAACTTGTTTTACCGAAGGATGGCAGGACTGTACCTTCTTTCCTTCAAAAATATGAGATGGTCGAAGCATGTTAGGAAAAGATAGTTGTGACTAGCAGATAGGATATTCCAGTTTAGTTAATGGTGGGAAGTAGAAGTTTTCCTGGAAAAGTTGAAGTCTTGCAGAGAGGTCTTGTGCATAATGCTTTCATAGGAAAAGTTGAAGTCTTGGTAGCTTGCTTAATCTAGGAAAATTGATGGAAAAGTTGTTTGAACAGGTTTTTGTTGGTTTTTCTTTTCCTACCAATTCTCCTGCTTGTTTGTGTGGCTGGTCAATGGAGGAAGGATCTTCTTTGATTAGCTATTGGAAGAAGATCAGAAGAAGATTCCGGCTTTAATTATTTCAAAATTCAACATAAATTTATCATTAGTGGACATGATTGATAATAATACTGATTTTGCTTTTGTTAATTTTGACATCTTGTTATGTTTTTATTTTTTGATGTCGCCTTGCCGCTTGAAGTCTGGCGTAGAATTCTAGAAAACTTTCATTTAATGGACTATTATTTCCTTTTTAGCTGGTGCCAGCTGTAACAGAGCTGGTGATTGCGGAACTGATGTACTTACAATGGATGGATCCAAAGCAGCCAATTTATCTTTACATTAATTCAACTGGAACTACACGCGACGATGGTGAAACTGTATGTAACTAAGTTTTCAGTTTTAACCGACATGAAAACTTTGTTTTAGCTCCCTATAATTATCTTCATATAATAGCTTCCTTTCATCTTTTTGTTGCACTGTGTTTGTGAACTATTCTGCTCGGAATCTTTTTGAGTGAATCAATAAGTAATTTATTTTACCTAACTTATAGCTTGTTTGGCATTGCTTTTTTGTTTTTATTTTTTAAAATTTTGGGCAAATATGTTTGGTTAGTGTTTTTATTTTTTGTTTCTAAAAACATCTAGAACAACCCCACAGCGGCTCCCAATGTTGTCTCCAGCTAATCGGCCATGGCGTCACCAGTGTCTTCCAAACAACAAAATAAGTTGATTTATGTGATATTCAATTAAAATTAAAATTAGCTTATATTTAATATATTGAACATATTTTTATTTTATAACAAAATATATAAAAAAATAAAGTGATCTCAATGGGCCCCTTCACTTTCAGGGTTTTTCCAGTGTTTTGTTACATCAAAATTCTATGTAGCTTTCATTAAATTCTAGTGCAGTAGCTTTTTTTTCATAGTATCGGGCACCTTGTTGATAATCAACATTGGTAGCTTGCTTAATCTATTGAATTGTTGGCAAATACATGTTTGTGATATTTTTGCCAAGGACTTGCTCTGAATTAAACTTTTTAAGGCTACCGTACAGCTCTACTTGACGTCTAATCTCAAACTTTAGAAGGTCATGCTATTACATTTAAGCTGCAGCAGAGTTCCATGCAGGAAAACATTCCAACATCTCATGTCCTGTCACTCTGCATAGGCTCCTACAAGCACTAAAATCTTCTGGGCACTATTGTCCATTCTAGCTAGCCAATAGATGAAGCCAGTGCAGATTTTTTCACTAAAATTTCTATCATCTTGTTTTACTTCTTCTTTCAATGGTCCTTAGGAAAAAAAGTGTTACGATATTTAACATATTTCAAGCTGCAAATGGGTTGATGGATAATGGTAAAGAACTTGTTTGTTTTGGTATTTTGATAACCATCTCAAAAGGATTAGATTAAGGTTTGCTGTTCAAAATATTTCTTAGGGGCAGAATTCCATGTCATGATAGCTCCAGGTTGAACTTGTGATTTCTTTATGAGAATAGTCCAAAGAGCCATCATCATTATTGTTAGCCTTCTCCTAATTGTTTGCGATTGACTTTATGAATCTCTATTCTCCAATCATTTGTTCTAAGTGCTACATGGGGCATTAAACCTATTATGCCATTTTTTTTTTATCTAGATTCTATTCATATCATCTTTGTCTATGCATCTTTCTTTTAATTCCTTCCTCCCTATGTTTACTCATTTTAAGGGTGTATTTTTTGTCCTTCATTTCACATGTCCGAATCACTAAAGTCTATTCTGCATTACCTTATATTCAATTAATGCTATTTGTATTATCTCTAATATAATTATTCCTCCATGTTAACCTTGGTTTACTCCTCTTCCTTTTGAAGCATTCGACATTAATTTTGTCTACTCGTCTTGTGGGGTGCATTTTGTATCCGTTGTCATACATGCCCAAACCATCTAAGCCTATTGTTAATTAACTTATCTTCAATGGATCTTGCTCCTAATGTTCCTTTGAAACAATTATTCCTCAATTTAACTAAGTTTGCTGCATATCCATCTTATTATTTTTATTTTTACCATGCTAAACTTGTCCATTAATGAATTTTAACTGCCTGACACTTAGATCCATACATGATGGTTTGCTTGATTATAATTTTATAAACGTATTTTAGTTTCCATGTTATTCTCGTATTACCTGATATTCTTGTAGCACTTCTCCACTTTAACCACTCAACTTTAACTTTAGAAGTTATATCCTCATTTTTTCTAAAGAGTTGAATTTGAAATTGTATAACTAGAATGCTATAATAAGAATATATATGCTTTTATTTTTGTCTTATATCCTTATAATTGAGGATATTCTTCCACCTTATCACTTTTCTTTTGTATTCATTTTATATGCTTATATAGCGGCACTTTTTACCAATCAAATTTTAATATTTTATAACTAGATTTTTGTTCTCTAACATTATATTGGAGTATGAATAATTTTAACCCTAGCTGCTACTCCCCCACAACCTCTTCTTTCATTTTCATCAGACTTTGTTACCTCAATCTCATGCCCTCCTTGCACCTTGTGGGCTCCGAAAATTCGGCCCCAGCCTTCGCCCGACTGTTGCTTGCCTTATTTTTTTTTTTCGGGGGAGTTTTAACGGATTAAGTTCCGGGTTAAATTTTGGAAGACAGATGGATTTATGATATGAGTTCTGGTTTCCTATAGGCGCAAGCCCCTATAGTTAATTACCCCTCTCGGTCACGAGAGAGAACTTTCGATTAAGGCTAGTCGCCAATCTGATACATTGTATCTATGGATACGTAGTATCAGGTATATAGTAATAGCAATGGGCATGGGTGTTTGAAATTTGAAAGGGTTTAATATTTAAAATGAAAATTTCACCATCTTGCACTTAAAGTGGATGGTGGGGGAATGGATGGTGGACCCGATTAAGATCCCATGGTTTTGTTGTCCCGGGCCATCATGGTCCCTAGTCTTCTTAGTCAGAGGAGGTAGTAGACCCAACCTGACAGAAGGATCCTTGTCGGCAGACATGGGTTGCTTCGTCCAAAGGCACCTTGTAGACCTAGGATGGATGTTTGTCTAAGGGGACAAATTTGAATCCACCTTAGCTAACAGAGGGCTTTGTACCCTATCGATCATATCCTATTGATTCATATCTCAAGGATTTGATGCCAGTAACGTATTGGCTCTGGTCATAACCGGTATTTTGTGGTGCCATTTGGCGGCAAAACCACTTGGTTTAGAGGGCCCCGGGTCATAACCGTTTATCTTGCAGTTCCATTTGGAGGCAAAATCGCCGGTCAGATGACACGTACCACGTCCTTACTGGCAGGAGATTATTTGAGAATGAATCATAGTGATATTTTTGACTAGGCATTTGGCTCCATGTGAGCTGAAGTATTTTCAACTTGTCCACCTCAACAAACTATTGTTGATGATGGATGGATGTTTCCTTTAAGTGTTTAATAGTTTGATTTTCAATTTTAAACATCTTGGATTTGGGATTTCTGGAATTTTGGATTTTCGTGGGTATTTGAGATGACATTTGAAAATGTTGGAATCACCCCTCCAGTTGAGATATTTTGTTCAACACGGCCATCATCGGGGTGTTCGAGATTATTCTATTTGAAAATATTTACATTTTGTAGATGAACCTTGTCAACTTTGTCGAGCTGTCGACAAAGGATTGGGTTTCGTAGGCTTTATGCCTTTATTGATGAATTCTCTTGATTATAGACTTTGAAGGCCTAATATGAATTTATTAAAATAAATATATCAGTCGCCACAACCGTGCATTTGTTTAATAGTTCGAACCCTGTCGACTCCTATTGATCCGCATATAAGGATCAGGTTCGAACTTGAATTCACTTATTAACCCGTGCAGCATCCCTAGACATCACGTGTATAATAATAACACGCTCGCTGGGGCCCATGCGGGTGTTTGATTGCATACCCCATTTTAGTATACTTATGTGTATATAAACTACGGTGCATGTGCAAGGGTATTTTTAAAATATTTATAAATGCCTTCTGTCCGCTTGCATAGATGTTGCATATCCAGTGGCGTTACGTAGCAGCTTGTGGATTGAGTTATTTACTGCTTTGTAGAGGTAGATTGTCGTGCACTATTTGCATGATTTATGCATGTAGATTGTAGTGCACTAACGAATCTCTTGCTTTCAATTGTAGATGCTTGCATCTATTGCGATTCTTTCACATTTGCCCATAGACAACATGTTGAATGTAGAACTGGTCTTTGAAAATTTGTATTTGCTCGTAAATGGTGTGCTATATGTACAATGAATTTCCTACAACAACCCGTGGAGACTGACATTTATTTTAATCCTTTGGCCTCTTGCTTGTGGTTGATACACCGGGCATACAACAAATCTTCTATGGCTACTCATAAAGATTTGCACTTGTAGTCATTTTGTATTTTGCTTTTGGGCATCCTATTGGGTGTACAACATATATTCTATAACAGCTCATAGGAGCTTGTATGTTCATATCCTTTCGTTGCTTTTATTGTGATCTGTAGGCGAGTCTCTTATAGCATATCTATCATTCTCATTTGAAAATAGGTTGTGATGTGCTCATTTATACATTAGTCCATATTGATAGCAAATGATCCACTTCTCCGACCTCTCTCTTGCTTTACTTACAGGCACATCACTGCATGATCCTTGTTACAATTCGTGCATGTTTCGTTGAGGTTTTGTATTTTGATTGTGAGTACATTGTTGCATTCTCTAATTGATCTTTGCTTGTGGGTAGATCATATGTCTTTGATCCTTGTTGATGGTTGCTTGCAAGCCAAATGATGATTGAATTCTTGCGCGTCATAAGTGTTTCTGTTCATTATAGCTCTTCTAATGCTGCTTCCTAATATGTTACATCCCTTGTATATGATCATAGGTGAGTTATTATATTCATTGAGAGCTTGCAATGTTGCCTATGAACAAATCATCAAATCATGCCTTTTGAAACATAAGTCCCTTGGTTCACAAGTTTCATATATGCTCATTGTGTATGTTCAAATTCAAGCTCAATTTGCATGAATTTCCTGTGGTTATGTAAGTTTAAGTTCTCTTGTGATCAGATTCAAGTTCACTTTTCTCCTATTGTTCGTCTGATTTGAATTCATGGTGTTCAAATCATGGTTCACTTTGAGTGAAATGAAGCTCAAGTTCATTTATTATTTGCATCAAGTTTTAGTTCAAATTCACTTCGAGTGATAGTTCAAGTTCATTTCATTCTCATTTTAAGCTCCTTGCATTCATTCATTTGAGCTCAAATGTGGTCCTTTGTTTGTTCAAATTGCAAAGTTCATATTCACTTAAGTCCAAGTCCAAGTTTCTTTATGATCATATTGAGTTCAAGTTCTTATCA